GACTCCCCGCCATCCCCACTCCCAGCGCAACGATCACACAGCGCCCGGGCAGAGCCTGCTCCGCAGGAGTCTTTAAACACAGCTCAGCCCGCCCGGCCCAGCTGGGCTCCCCTGCAGCACTGCCTTCTGCGGCAGCTCGTGCGCCAGCCCAGCCTCAAACATCTGCTTTAAACGCAGCGCTGGACGGGTAAACGGCGGCCTGCCTGCTGCAGGGGGTTCTGGTCGCCTTCGGAGATAATGTCAAGAGCAGCAATCAGCAGTAGAGAGCAATGCTCCCTCCAAAGCAGATCTCATTAAGTTAATGTCTACTGGAGAGAAGTAAGTGATGTGACATCTCCTCCTGCAGCCCCAGACGAGCTTTCAGGGATGACAGAACACGGGGGGTAAGGCTTTATTCAGCACAGTAAGGAATGGACATGCAAATAAGGTAGGGTTGTGTAACCGAGGTATGCGCTTCCCGATCCCAAACGCCACGTGGCCAGAATCCAAAAATCTGGCCTAAAACCCAACAATCTGGCCTAAAACCCCGGGATCCCTTAGAGACACAGCCGGTCCCAGCAAAGACACTCACCGATTCCCTTCCTGCACTACCCTACACATCACGATGGCTTTCCCTGGGACGCGGAGCCAGGGAAGAGGTGCCACCGACCGGCAGCGCTGGGATGGGAAAGGCAGAGGGAGACGGGGAGGCAACAGCCTCTGGCCAGGGCGCTGCCGGGCAGAGCAGGAACCTGCTGCGTCCCTCACGGCAGAGCGCTCTCTCGCGAGGGGGCACCTCAGTTTATAGTGAGGACATCGCTCTGAATCTCGTGGCTCAGCTGCGTCTGGAGGTCGCTCAGTTTCTTCTTCAGGCCGGACAGCGCGGAGAGAACGATGGTCTCTGGGCGCAGAGAACCGCAGGACTCCACGTTGTAATAAAACCTGAGGTCACAAGTTGGGGGGGATAAGTCACCGTCCGCTCTGTGACAAGATGCAAAACCAGAGCGTGCCCGCAGAGGAGTTCCAGCCCACCCTGACCCACCGCAGGCAGCTCTGCGGGGAATCCTGACCACCGGCATCATTCACCTCCCAACCGGGCAGCGGCCAGCGCTGCCCCTCTACAGCTGACACCCCAACGCCCCGATTTCGCAGGCTGTAAGAACGCTTCGAGTATTATTCTGTTCAGCACCGCAGCCTACGAGCCAGCACAGAGACCCGCGCCAGGGAGCCAGCCCAGCTGCGAGCGCTTCTGCAGCACAAGTGACCGGGGAGAGGGGGTACCCCCAGCAATCGGGGCACGGGAGACCCATATGGCTGAATAAATATCCCCAGCCGTTTTCCCCTGCAGGCCCCACACTCCACCGAGCGCTGCACTGCCCTCCTCAATAACACAAGCTCAGGAGGGCAATCTAGGACATCCCAGAGGGGAAAACCTGCCAGGCCCGGGCAGATCACCAGTGAGCTCCAACTTCTGCCCTGCTTCTCCGGGAACACCAGCTCCCTGGGCTGGCAAGTTTCAGTGCAGCGTCGATGATCTTGTGTTAACAAAAGCCAAAGAGACGCACCCAGCTGGTCCCCCCATTTTCCAGCTGCGGCAGCATACTCAGCTTCCTACCTCTCTGGCTTCCCGTTGGGGTCATAGGGAGCCTGCGCATCCTCCTCATCGATCTCCGAGTACTCGCTCTTGGGCCTGGAAACACAGAGAAGGAAAGGTTAGCACGGAGCCCACGCTCCAGCCCAGCCCCTGCGGCACCGTTTGTGCCCCGAGAGCGAGCACCGGGGCTCACACCCAGCAGGCGAAGGAGCAGTCACCAAACATCAAGTCACAGAAGAAAGCTCAGCGCCGCGTCGCCCCTTCCAGCTCCCCACCAACGCCACGCAGTCACCCAGCAGTGCTGGAGGAAGAGGACACTGGTTATAGAGCAACGGACCTTGTGTTTTCTTTCTACTTTTCTCCAGGCAGGAAAACACCGGAGCACTCCAGCACCCACCCTGTGCAGCACAGCTGAGACGGGAAGGCCCGGCTGGCTTGTGCCCAGCAGGAAAAAAGTTCTCCTGTACTTCAGACACTGGCTGCATTAGTGAGCCCTGTTCTGATGTCCTGCACCTCCACTCCTTTACACATCACTACGAAATGGATGACAAGTTGGCCATGAGCCAAGTGTGCCCTGGCTGCCCAGAAGGCCAGTGGTCTCCTGGGGTGCATTAAGCAGAGTGTGGCCAGCAGGTAGAGGGAGGTTCTCCTTTCCCTCTACCCTGCCCTAGCAAGGCCCCATCTGCAGTGCTGTGTCCAGTTCTGGGCTCCCCAGTTCAAGAAAGATGAGAAGCTACTGGAGAGAGTCCAGCGGAGGGCTACAAGGATGAGGAGGGGACTGGAGCATCTCTCCTACGAGGAAAGGCTGAGGGAGCTGGGCTTGTTCAGCCTGGAGAAGAGAAGGCTGAGAGGGGACCTCAGAAATGCCTATAAATATCTGCAGGGTGGGTGTCAGGAGGATGGGGCCAGACTTTTCAGTGGTGCCCAGAGACAGGACAAGGGGCAACGGACACAAACTGAAGCAGAGGAAGTTCCAGCTGAACAGGAGGAAGAACTTCTTCACTCTGAGGGTGACAGAACCCTGGCACAGGCTGCCCAGGGAGGTTGTGGAGTCTCCTTCTCTGGAGATATTCAAGACCCACCTGGACACAGTCCTGTGCAGCCTGCTCTGGGTGACCCTGCTTCGGCAGGAGGTTGGACTGGATGACCCACAGAGGTCCCTTCCAACCCCCACCATTCTGTGTGAAAGTCACTGCAACACCCGTGCAGCTGGAGAGGTGGGCCTGCATGAAACGCATGAAGTTCAACAAGGCCAAGTGCGAAGTGCTCACG